AAGCAGGAAGGGTGGGGGCCCCGTGAGGTTGGCATCGGCCTTTTCCTCTGCTGGAGAAGAGCTCCTGAAGTCCGGAGATGCAAAGTTACCTGCTCAAGGTTCCACAGCTTTTAAGTGGCAGAGTCAGGATCCAAATCTGGGCCTGCTGCGTCTGGTTCCTGGGGCATCCCTCTCATCCGTGTCTCTCTCTGCGACCAGGCTCTGTGCTTCCTTGTAGTGCTTGGAGCTGCAGAGAGCTAAAGGTGTCTTCTTTGAACTGCTCTAGGAAGCGGGCTGGGTGGGCTGGGTAGTGGCCTGTGCTTCCTAGTTGGAACTGTTTGTGAGGACTGGGAGGGGCACACAGGACTTAGAGACCAAACAGGACAAAGGCAGACTAAGCACAGAGTCTTGCCCAATGGTTCTCAACCTTCCTAATTGCTGCGACCCTTTAATACAGTTCCTCATGTTGTGCTTAACCCCCAAGCACGTGCATGCGCTCTCTCTCTCTCTCTCTCTCTCTCTCTCTCTCTCTCTCTCTCACACACACACACACACACACATCAGACTTTCAATTCTTCCTATCCAGGCCACCGTCACATAGGCTCACAGGATCCCACCCAGAGACACCCCTACCTGGTTTTGGATTCTCTCTGCCTCCTCCTTCACACCGGAAGGACATGCTCTCAGCATCTGCAGGGTAGAAAGCTCATTACCCCCCCCCCCCTCACCTACTGCCTGCTCTGCCCTCACGGAATCCTGCCAGGCCCTGTGCCCAACAGCCTTCCTGACCTCACCCGAGTGCAGACATTGAGTCTCTTCCCTCACAGAAGACAGACTTCTTGGGTCTGTCCCCATCCCCCTGTGCCTGGTTTGTCTCATCTTAGTCTGCCTTGAAGACCTGTGGAGCTTTGAGCATGACCAAAAGAGCCATTCCGAGTTGTGTCAGAGCCCTTTGGACCCTCAGCAGCCCTGGTCACTCTGAGGAAGTCACAGTCGTTGGTCATTTGAAATCACCTATTTCTTCCTATTCCTATTTCTCCAAATCTTCAACCCCATAAGAGCCATGCTGACCTTGACAACTGCCAAGGTTGCTCCCAAGCAGCTGGGAGTCTGTGGAGGGTGGGGCTGGATCTCTGTCTCTTTTCTACTCAGACACGCCCCCCCCCCCCATCCTTCCACATGGTCACCCTGGGTAGAAGTAGAGAGAGGGGAAGCAGGTAGGGTCAGGGTCACTGGGTTCTGGGAATCTCAGTGATAGGAGGTTCCACTCAGGCCAGGTGGTGGTGGCACACGCTTTTAATCCCAGCACTCGGGAGGCAGAGGCAGGAAGATCTCTGAGTCTGAGGCCAGCCTGATCTTCCGAGAGTTTCAGGACAGCCAGGGCTACACAGACATGGCCCTCTCCCTTCTCAGCTCCTTGCAATCTGAGGTCCACTCAGTTCTGCTCCTGGGGTATTTATTTCCAAAGACAGAACTACAGAAAATGCTTGGCCAGCTCCCTGTCCTGGCTGCATTGTCCCGTGAGTGACAATGCTGCCAAAGTTCAAAGATTCATGAGACATGAACCAAAGGGCATGTAACCACTTGTCAGGTGGCTGGACTGTTCAAATGTGGTTGCTGCCAGGATCTGACAGACCGTCTTCGGCAACTGATGGCTGCGGTGCCTGGCTCCTCCTGAACACCTAACCCTATCCTGTGCCTACGGCCCCTGCCCTTCCCCCTCTGCAGAGTCGGGTGACCTGTAGTTTGAGCCCAGATCCACTGTTTGTGAATCCTGTAGCTTTGAGCCCCTATGACCCCTCTTTCCTTTCTTTTAACATGTAATTATTTAATGTGTGTGAGTGTGTATGTACATGTCTGTGTGTTTACATGTGTATATTTGTGTGTACGTGTGTGTATGCTCCCAGGCATGAGTATGGCTGTCAGAGAATAACTTGACCGAATCTGTTCTTTTTCTACCACGTGGATCCTAGGGATCAAACTCAGACCATCAGGCTTGGTGACAGCCATCTTTCCCATGGAACCACTTTCTTTACTTTTTTTTTTCCGAAACAGGGTTTGTCTGTGTAGCCCTGGCTCTCTTGGAACTAGCTCTGTAGACCAGGCTGGCTTTGCACTCACGGAGCTCCGCCTGCCTCTGCCTCCTGAGTGCTGGGATTAAAGGTGTGCGCCACTGCTGCCCGGCTACAACTTTTTTCCTTTAGAGATTTTTTTTTTTTAATTTTTTGTTTACGAGTGTTTGCCTGAATGTCTGAGGACCCCTTGCATGCAGTGCCTGTAGAGACCAGAAGACGATGTTGATCCCCTGGGACTAGAGTTACATGCAGATGGTTGGAAACTGCCACATAGGTGCTGGGAATTGAACCTGCGTCCTCTGGAAGAGCAGCAGCTAGTACTCTTAACTGCTAAGCCACCTTTCCAGCTCCACACTGAGCTATCTCATCAGCCTGGCTCTCTGTTGTTTGTTTGTTTGTTTTGTTTTGTTTTGTTTTGTCTGTGGAGTGCATTTACGAGAACCGCCTCATGTGATTCTGCCTGTGTCTTACCTGGCTAGAGTAGATTTTCTCTGCATGTTCTTCTCCTTCTATTTCTGGATACCCACTTCCAGGTTACAGAAGCCTTCAACTCCCAGGCACCTCCCAACCTATCCAGAGAGACTATCAGACTCCCTCCCCTTTCACCCCAGCTTCCTCCCACCCAGGCTTCTTTGCTCACATCAGCCTTTGCTCGTGTCACACAGGTCAGGGAGGACCTGCAAGCTACCTGGCACCATTCTGAGTTTGTGGGTGTGTCTTCAGGGCACAGCAGACCAAGGGGGCAGACCAAGGGGGCTGGACCTCTACAGGCCCATACATGGTCCACTCTGGGGGGGTATTGATACCCCAGCAAAGGAGGGACAGTGACAGGCTCCATCCTCAGACCAGACATTCTGGCCACAGTGGACTGAGATTTCTCCCCACTCTAGGCTAGTCATCCCTCCCCCTTTAGACACAGCACTTCCGTCAGGGCCTGAGATTCTCATTCCGAAGTCTCCATGCACTGTAGTTGGCCGGAGCCAGGCCTTGAATTTTCATGATCCTAACCCCTTAAACCTTCAGATAGAAAACTCCACAAGGCTGTAAGAACAATAGACATCTATTTTTATAGATCTCTCCAGAGTTGTAAAGATCAGCTTAATTTCACTAGCAGATTCCGTCATTTTCTAGAAGGGGGCCTGGAGGGTGGGGGTTGGGAGGTTTAAAGACAATTGGATGGACTTCTTGCCAGGAAAAAACGGGAAGGTGGCTTCGTCACGCTGGCAGCACGCTTGCCTTCCCTAGTCTGAGAATTACTTCAACGCTGGAGAAGCAAAAGGCCCCAGGGGAAAAGGAGGGTTAACCACTTCCTAGGTCTCTTTGGTTGGATTCCAACCTCCACCCTCTGAAGCCAGCCAGGCCCCGCTTACCCTGACAGGGGAAGCTTACTGTCTTTACGCTTGACTGGGGCATCTCAGATCCAGGCTCTCAGGAACTGGCCACAGGAAGAAACAGAGGCCGTAGGAAGGGTGCACAGGATAGAGAACTCTCCAGGTAAGGAGCACGGGTCGGGGTGCTCCCAGGCAGGCCACAGAGAGGGTGGTGTAGCCACCTGCCCTCCCCTCCTCTACCCAGCCACGCAGTAGCTCAGACCCCCTCTACCCCAAATCAAGGCTTCTTAATGACAAAGCTAGAATACTGCTGGACTTGGCATTATATGGCACATAGCGTATAGTCAACCATGGCTGCTCTGTAACAGAGTAAGGTTAGGGCAATGTCCACCTGAAGGAAGCCCAGGACAGACACTCCTCCCCAGGGAAGGGGCCTGGGTACCCACTCCCAGTAAACAGTAAACAGGCCACTATCAATGGCCCCTGTTCTTTAGTCTCTTAGAGGCTAACAGCAAATTTAAAATAGCAGCCTGTTCAAAGCTGTAAGGACTCATTAGAAGATCCTCCCCACCCAGCCCCGGAGTCTTTCAGAAGGCCCAGCCTCCCCTGAAGGCCCTTCCCCCAGGGAAAAGCAGAAGAGGCCAGAAGAGACCTTCCTGGCTTCATGCCAGCCCACACCACAGGCAGGAGGCCCACAGCTCAGTTTCCTCAGCAAAATAAATCTTGAGACTTTCTAAGCGCCTAAAAAAAAAAAAAAAAACAAAAAACCAAACACACACACACACACACACACACACACACACACACGCTCTTCTCCCGATTAACAAGCCGGCCTGCGTGTTCTTGGCTGCTTGCTGCCGACCTCAATTTAAAAACTGTCTGCTGTTTAGCTGCTGGAGAGGAAGGGCCCGGGAGGTATGGAATATTGAAGCTGAGAGCCCTGAGTTGCCAAAGTCGGGGGCGGCGGCTGCTGACCCTGCTCCAAATCTGAACAGCGTCCCAAGAGCCTGAAGGAGGCCCAGCCAGGCTGGGCTGCTGCGCTGAGGATGTTTAGACTGTTTTCAGTGGGGCTAGCGGGGATAGTCGCGGTGGAACTGGCCTTGTGATGGAAGCTGGACTCAAAGAGCCAGTCTGTGTCTGTTGGAGGACAGCTCCCTGTGGAATGGCTTGTTATACCACACAAAGACTTGACAAGGTTCTCAGAGCCCTGTTTCCAGGAATGGCTGCCTGCTGGCCAGACCTGTGAGAAGACCCACTCCCTCTCTGTCCCTTTCCAGGAAGTGCTTGGGTTTCCTGCCTTCCCCTTTTCTTTGCTGGTTTTTGGCTCTTTGGGTCTACAGTTCTGTAGGGAGGAGAGGGATTAGGAAGGAGCCTGGCTCGGAGGCCCCCTCAGCCTTGTGCGTGTCTCTGCTTTTCTCCCTACCTGCTGAAGAATCTGACCTCCCAGACTCTCAGTCTTCCTCCATCAAGGCTCTTGCCTGGCCACCCACCATGTGTTAGGGAAATGGAGTCTGTGAGGATCACCCCCTGTAGTCAGCGTGCAGGAGGCCCCCATGGGGCAAGGACACTTCCACTGAGCTGTCACTTTCCCCCTGTTGTTCCCCCCACAGGAGGGATCTCAGTGACTCATAGCGACCTCCCTATCATGGTCTCCCTGGCCAACACGCCTGTCTCCTTTAGCTGCAGAATCAACTACCAGGACACGTCAGGATTCACATACTCCTCTGTTAACTTCTTTCACGTGGATCTCCATGGCAAGAGAAGCTTGGAGATGCCGCTTTCCTGCCAACACAGTCCTGGTGCAGAGAACGGGACCATGGATTGTGCAGTTATTCTCAGCCTGCCAAATGCATCTGCCACAGGCACTTACTACTGCTTAGTCAGAGGGTCCTTCCCGGAGCAGAGCAATGGCATCTTCATTCTGGTCAAAGGTAAGGCTCTGGGGCTAGGGGCAGGTGGGCCAGCAGGAGAACCTCCCATTTCTCCTGGGAAACTCACCCTCCGCTCCCGGCTCTCCTCCCTCCCAGACACAGGGTACCAGCCTCCTTCATTCAAGGTCCAGGAGGCCCTGATGTTCACCTTTACCGGCCTGCTGAGTGTCCTGAGCGTGCTGGGCACAGCTCTACTGCTCTACTGGAGGAAGGTGAGGCCCACATGGACACGTAACACGTTCTGCCGAGCCTTGCCCCCTGCACTCACACTGTGGAACTGGGGAGGCCTCCGGGACCAGAGGGGCTGCTCCTGTCCCATAGGGCATCCTAGACCTGGGGGAAGATGCTCTACCAGCCCATTGACCCACCATGATGCTACCGAAAGCACATGACAGAGTAAGGGCTGGAGCGCTCAAGAAGGGGACAGTTTGCTCCAGCTCTTTGCCTGGCTGTTCCCTGTTCACGGTGGAGAGCTGACTCCCCACTGGGGCACCCCTCGTTCTCCCCATCTCTCAGTGGTCTCGTTCCATGCTGCTGCAGCCTCAGCCACTGGCACAGGACTCTGCACATAGTAGGTACTCAGCAAATATCCACCAAAGGGATTGCAATTTGCAGAGTCCTTCCCTGGTTATTGGTAAATACGTACATTAACTTCCTAAGAGGACCTCAGCTGAGTCCCTACTTTGCACCGGAAGTCATATTGGAGGTTACAAACGCAGAGGGAGCATGTGGACTAAAATCTCAAGACAGCCTGCTTGACGGTCAGTGGGGGGCCAGGACAGGGCTTGAGGGCACAGTGTCATGGCGGCTGGGTTTGTATTCTGACCCTGCCCCTTACAAGCTCTGTGCGATTGGGCAGGGTAATCAATTCCCCCCTGCCTCAAATGAGAGCTCCCCAACGCAGAGGCAATTCCAAGCATCCTGACTGTGGTCAGAAGGGATGGGGACAGAGGGTGCGGAGGAGATGTGAGCTACTTTGCACCCCAGGACAGCTACTCTCCTGAGAAGATGGCGGTCGCCATGTCTTCTGCCGGGGGGGAGCAGGGGTGGTGACTCCACCTGGCTGGTGGAGGTGGTCATGGTCCCCGCAGATCCTGGGTACCTTTCTCAGAGCCCTTCTGTGCACCTGGGCAACTGATCTGACCTGAGTAATTGATCTAGAACTCATCAATATTTTCATCCATCGATGAACTATCAGCCCCCCACAAGCTCTGAACCCCCCTATGGTGAGCATGGTGATTAATATGTATGGGATCTCCACCTCATGTGACAAAAATAAAATAAAATAAAATAAAATAAAATAAAATAAAATAAAATAAAATAAACCAAAACAATAACAACAGCAGCAACCTAACTGAAGACCCCACAGGGTAGGGACTTGGTGTCCCTGGTGCCTGCTGAGGCCTGGCACATAGTAGGTGCTGGTGGAAGGAATCATGGCATATCTGCATGCTGATTCCTGAAGGATGAGTAGGAGCCGACCAGGGCACAGGAGGGAAAGGTGGCGTCATGACTTTTCCATTTCAAAGAGGGGGAAACTGGGGTTAACAGGCTTCTCGGCCAGCTGCTGGCAAAGAACCAGGTCTCAGCCTAGAGCTGCTGACCCTCCCTGCATCCTCCTGGGGAGAGGGATCATGGGTAACAGAGAGCTAGGCACTACGGGAGAAACCGTGCTGGCTGATTTACTCCTCTGATAATGACAAGCTGAAGGGACCAGTTCTGGCTGCCTGGGTCACAGACGGAGCTGACTCCAAGGGACAGAAAGCATCCCCAACCTCCACAGCAAAATAGAGCCCAACTAAGTTTTCATTGGTGCTCTTTGCCCCTCTGGAGGTCCCACCCCAGCCTAAGCCTCCTGGCTGGCTGGACAGGGCTGGAAGACTTGATCTGCTTCTCATTGCCCCCAAACTTTAATCCACCTGTGTCTGAGGCCATGTATGCCAGTGGCTAAGAGCATCTCTGGCCATTTCCAACTTTAGTGGCTCCCACTGTTCCCCAGCCCCCCAATGGCCACCAGTGAAAACACCTGTGCCATTTGGTGTTCTGTGGCCTTGTTGCCCATCTCCCCTTTCTCCTCCCTCCCCACTCTCCTGTTCCCCCTCCTCCCCCTCCTCCCTCTCTGCACATCCTAACAAACTGCAGCCTCCTGTGGCCTTGAGCGGTTTCCTGGGACCAACAGTGTAGCTCACCTCCCTTGAGCCCTCAGTGACAATCCCAACAAGCTGCGGGATCTCCGGTGCCCAGTCAGGCCCGGCATGGAGGGGGCTGGCACTGTTGCCCCCAGGTGTATAAAGCCAAGTCCTGTGTTTTTAAGCCTTGGCTCCAAGGACCTTATCCAGGAAGCCTCCAAATAGCTGCTGCCTGTGAGCACCTGTCTTTCAGCTTTGGTGGCTTCTAGAAAACAGTCTTGGAGGGGGAGGAGCCAGGACCCCAGGCATCTTGACAAGAAGAACGTACCAATGTGCCCCGAGTATCCCAGGGGTCTGACCCACAGTGACAGTGTCTCCGGGAACAGACAGTGAAGGGAGGTGCCAGATCAGTGTTTCCTCTACGGAGAGCCATTCACTAGCTTGGCAGGCCTCAGTTTCCCTCTCTATGAAATGGTAAGTCAGTCCATGGCTACTCCCTCAGGCTGTTAAGAGAATAAAGTGACAAGGACAGGGTTCTTTCTGCATTTTAAACCACGCACAGATGTAGCTCCTGTCTGTCTGAGACCTACACATCTTCACGAAACAGAAGCTAACACTCTAGGTAGCACCAGGTTGGCATCTTAGTGAACGCAAGACATAGGTTCAAATCCTGCTCCTGCCACTTACTGGCTGTGTGGTCTCAGCCATGCCCTGCTCTCTCCACGTGCAGAGAGGAGATGGCCTGGGAGCTTGCCTGCAGGTTTGTTGAGGAGTACGAGCCACAGGGCAGCTCTCCCTGCCCGGCTCCACGTTCAGAGCTGTGTAATGCTGAGACTGGGGGTGGCTCCGGCTTCTGCCTGTGAGTTAAGTAGCTCTTGAGTGCTAATCCGGGAGTGAATGGGCTGGGGATTGGCAGGTGGCCAGGGTTTTTAATTAGCTCCTGCCCTGAGATGAGGCCGTTGTTGCTCCACTGTTGGCAGTGTGGTGCCTGCCATGAAGGGGGGCGTCCAGACCGCCTCCCTCTGTCACCCCGGCCCTGCGCTTTTCCAGCGGGGTGACACAGCCTTCTCCAATCCCACTTGCCATTTGCTCCAGCCTTGGGGAGTTTCCCAAAACTGGCTTGGGTCAGGCATCCTACCCAGAGCCCTCATCGCTTCCTCTGGTCCACACGGCCCTGGCCCGGCCTGCCAACCCACCCATGGGCGAGGGGTTTAGCCTCAGGCTGACCTCTCCTTACGGTCCTTGGTCCTGCAGGCCTGGTACATACCAGCCTGCCTGCTGTGCTGCCTGGAGCCCTCCTCTCTGTTCACCCGGTCCGCATATTTCCCCCTCCTACCCTCTTCCTGAGTCCTGTGCCCATTGGTCCCTGGGCACAGGGCGCTCTGCTGCGGCGGCAAAGTGGCTGGGTCTTGCCTTTCTCTCCCGAAGGTTCAGGAGGGCAGCAAGAAGTCCACCTGTTCATGTTGTCCCTGCTAACAGAGGGGCTCAGTAACTGTGGCGTGGTTGACTGAGGGTTCTCTGAGTGCCACCAAGTGCTTCCCCCCTGTCGCCTCCTCCAAACCTTGCAGTCATCTTTCCAAGGTGTTCTGTCGCTGAAGACACTGAAGCTAGAGAGAAAACGTTTCCCTTCAGGCCACAGCCAGTGAGGGGCCAACTGAACGTCCATTCGGGGCCCACCCAGGGTTTGGCTTCTGGGCCCTGTCTCCCCAGAGTCAGGCACTCTGCCTGTGACAATGCCTCCCTCACGTGGGTCTCTGCGTTTCCTCTAGCTTCAGGCACCTCTCCCTGGAGAGGGTGGGTGGAAAGCGTTGAGTGATTAATTTTTCTGTGGCCCCATGACAATTGGCAATGCTCCCCCCCACCCCCCCGTGGGGTCTATAAGGGGAGGGAGATGGGAGAGCTACCTCTCCTCAGCCTTGACAGCCTTGGCTTCCTTCTCCTCACAGAAACAGAAGTCAGTTCTGGGCAATCACAGTGCTAGGACATGCCCTGCTCCCAAATCCACCAGCAGAACCCCAAAGGCTCCAGCAGAATCCATCTACACGGTGAGTCCCTTCTACCTCTCTCAGGCCTGACCCAGGGTCTGACTTGCTGTGGGGTATTTCTGTGCCTCAATTTTCTAATCTGTAAAATGGACACAGTCATTCCACAAATTAGATATTTCTCTCTCTGTGTGTGTGTGTGCGTGTGTGTGTGTGTGTGTGTGTGTGTGTGTGTGTTTCGTTGTTGTTGCTTTGTTTTTCCAGACAGGGTTTCCCACTTTAGCCCTGGCTGTCCCCAAACTCGTTTTGTAGACCAGGCTGGCCTCAAACTCAGAGATCCACCTGCTTCTGCCTTCCCAGTGCTGGGCTTAAAGGCATCCATGCCCAACCAATGCGCAACCAAAGCAGATATTTCTACAAAGGTTAAAGGAGAGGAAATGTGTGGGGCCCCTTCAGGAGCCTGAGGCAGTGAGAACAAAAGTTGGCAAAGATGAAGAAACTTCAGTCAGGTGACCAAATTCTCCCCTGAGCCAGCATGCAAGCTTCTTCCTATTTCTATTGCACAAGCGACATTGAAGCAGCAACAGCAAACAGAAAAACCTCACAAAAAGAGGAAAGGGCCAGGCACCACCCCACACCCTTGACACATCAAGGGCTTTTGATTGTTCACCCACACTCCCTTCCTCATTTACCCCTTCAGTCACATCGAGACTCCATGTGTCATATGCCCTGTTGTGCCACACCCATTTCCCATCTCCCCCAAGTTTTCACAGTGTCAAGGGAAGGAAGGGCCTGAGGAGGCTGTTCCTGCCCGGTCAGCTGCACAAAGGGCTCCCCCTGCCAGCTGTGTGGCTTACCAGTCTGTGATGCTCAGGGTAGAGAAAGTGACGGATTTACCACCGTTGTCAGCCAGAGCCACCAGCCTCTGAGTCTGGTTGCCCAGCTTCCAGCTGCCTGTGGTCCCAGCTTTATTGGGTTTAAAACTCTCTTCTGGCCTCTTTAGGCAACTACACATACCCAACACACACACACACACACACACACACAAAATCATAAAAAAAGAAAGAAAATCTCTACCTCTGAAGTAACTGAGAGAGTCTTAGGGTGACATGTGACATCAGGACTGAAGGATCCTGTCATATCATCAGTGACAGGCAGGACAATGGATCCTAATGTCTAGGTCTGGCATTACCTATGTTGGAGGAATAGGGATTGAGAGATATCCTCTGTGTCTCCCCGAACACACGAACACACGAACACACGAACACACGCGCACACACACACACGCACACAGTCTGGCCTGTTGGGTCTCCAAGTACGTATTTTGAAGGTGCTTGCCACTCTTCCTTGTCCCGAGTACCTTGCCGAACGTGTGAGACCTGACCACAAAATCCCACACAGAGCATGATCAGAATCAGGCTATGTTCGCTGAGGACATGGAGGGTGGCAATGAGGCCAAGGGCTGTTGCCACGCACAGCGATTGACAGATCTAAGAACAGGACAGTCCCCAAAGGGCCTTCAGCTTCTCCTCCCCGGGGACTTTCCAGCAGCTGTCGAGACGTGTGCCACCTCAGGCTCCCCGGAGTTTGACTCTCTCTTTCCAGCAACTCAACACTGTGGGAGATTACGGTGTTAGCTGCTGTGTGAAAATCAATCTCTCTCTCTCTCTCTCTCTCTCTCTCAAGCAATCCTCCCCCCCCCCCCCCTTCCTCTCCATTTCTCTCTCTTCTGGGAATAAAACCCAGGGTGTGTACATGCTAGTCGAGAAGGAGGCACTGTTCCACTGAGTGGTAGCCTCGGTCCTCACGCTGTTTTCATTTTGCGGTTTGGGTTTTACACCTGTAGCCCAGGCTGACCTTGGACTCCTAATCCTCCCGCCTCCACCTCCAGAATGCTGGAATTACAACCTTGAGTTTTATCGTCCAAGCATACTTCAAAAACTTAGAATCGCACAGATTTAAGACTATGCATATTTATTTGATTTTAATGTGTGCACGAGTGGCTTGCACACATGTCTGGCTGTGCTCCACTGTGTGCCTGGTGTCCGGGGAAGCCAGAGGAGGGCATCAGATCCTGTAGAACTAGAGTTACACATGGTTGTGGACTGCCATGTGGGGGCTGAGAATCAAACCCAGGTCCTCTGAAAGGGCAGCCAGTGCAGTAACTGCTGAGCCATTTTTCCAGCCCAGATTTTTTTTTTCATGCTATGCTATCTCCTATGCATTTTCTCATTTGAACAGCATCCTTCTAAAAAAAAAAATTTTTTTTTTTAAATGAAGACTCACTTTTGCCTAGATCATCTTTCTTGTCTATGGATAGCATACTCTGGGGTTTGGACTGACACTCCAAGTGTTGCAAAGAGGTCCAACTTCATACAAAGCCACAGGGTGGCCCGTGACTTAGGGCTTTAGGACCACAAAGGAGGTGTGGAAAGAGACGGATCACAGAGTTTCACTAAGCCTTTGACATAAGAATCCACCAGTGAGGCTGGAATGGTGGCGCACGCCTTTAATCCCAGCACTTGGGAAGCAGAGGCAGGCAGATCTCTGTGAGTTTGAGGCCAGCCTGGTCTACAGAGCAAGTTCCAGGACAGCCAAGGAGACACAGAGAGACCCTGACTCCAAAAAACAAAAAACCAAAAAGTCCACCAGTATGAACTGGACCTGGGCGGAAAAGATCATTAGCAAAAATAATGGTGCTGTCAGCAGCCATCTGTTGTGTGCCTACTATGTGCTGGTAATTGGTAGGACTTCAGTCCTCTTGATAAGGCTTTGAGGGACAGTCGGTGTCCTCATTTTCTAATAGCCTGTTCCTGATATGTAGAAAATGTACATACTATTTCATAGAGGCCTGCAGAACCTCCTCACCAATTCTGATAGCTCCTCTGTCAACTCCTGTGGACTTACTGTGAGCCCCATCATGTCCATGAGATGAGCAATGGAAGTTTCATTCCCGCCCCACTTCCAACCCTCCTACGATGTTCGTTTATCCTCAGCCCACCTCCAAGTGTTATTCTATTGGGGCCTCCACAGTGATGAGGGCGGGTGGCTGGGTCATCTCTGTCTTCACCCAGGGGAGGTTGTTCTTTCTTTCATTTTCTTTATATGTTATAACTTTCTGTTCTTTGTGGTTTCTTAGAATTCTTGTTAGTTAATTTGTTTAGTGTGTGTGTCTATCTCTCTGTGTTTGTGTGTGTGTCTATGCGGAGGTCACAGGACAACTCCCAGGGGCTGGTCTTCTCTCTCCATAGTGTGGGACCTTGGAATTGAACTCAGGTCTTTAGACTTGGCAGCAAGTGCCTTTATCTTGGCAGCCCTATCCTTCCTTCCTTCCTTCCTTCCTTCCTTCCTTCCTTCCTTCCTTCCTTCCTTCCTTCCTTCCTTCCTTTCCTTTTCTTTTCTGTTTCGTTTGTTTGTTTGTTTTTCAAGACAGGTTTTCTTTGTGTAGCCTTGGCTGTCCTGTCCTAGAACTCGGTCTGTAGACCAGGCTGGCCCTGGATTCGCAGAGATTGCCTATCTCTGTCTCCTGAATGCTGGGATTAAAGATGTGAGCCACTGTGCCCAGTTCCCTCTGTCTTTTCTTATGTAAGCATTTAAGTCTATGGCTACCCTTGAAGCGTGACTCTGTATCCCATGAGAGGCATGGCAATCAAACCCAGGCTCCTTTCACATACATTCCCTCTACCACTAAACCCTATCCCATTTCCCCCAGTTCCAGTAAGATGTACATATATCATATATATGGATTGTGCCTTTCCCCCCCACTCCACAGAGAATTCTTACTTGTCCAGCTAGTGTTTTTTTTTTTTAAATAATTTGCTTAATTAAAAAAAATATTTATTAGCCGAGTGTGGTGGCACACACACGCCTTTAGTCCCAGCACTCGGGAGGCAGAGGCAGGTGGATCTCTGTGAGTTTGTGACCAGCCTGGTCTACAAAGTGAGTCCAGGACAGCCAGGGCTGTTACACAGAGAAACCCTATATTGACAAACCAAATATATACATAGACATTTTTGGCGGGGGAGGAGCTTGTGCATGTGCCCCAGCATGCTCTTGTGCAGTGCAGAGACCACTGTGTCTCTCCTACTGTGTGGGCCCTGCCATCTGACTGAGGGCCTCAGGATTGGTGGCAGGCGCCTGTGCCTTCTTAGCCATCTCACTGGGCCCTTGCTTTCTTTTTGACATTGAGTTGTTCCGTATGTTCCTTATCTCTGACGAAGTCTTACTCGTGTGTACGTGTAATCAGAACTCTGCCGGGGCTTGCTTTATGTCCCACCTGATGCTCTGAGCACACTTGGGGAGGCGTCCACACTTCATTCATGGCGAGTGAGTGTTCCGATGACAGCAAATTGCTGATCACGTCGCTAAAACATTCCGTATCTCTATCGATCCCTATTGATTTTTCTCTGTCTTATCAGTTGTTAAAAGAAGTGAGTTATCGGCCAGTGTGATTGTGGGTTTATATTTTTCTCCTTTGAATTGTGTTAGCTTTGCTTCCTCTCACATGGAAGAGCTCTCAGACCTTACGACACCAAAAACTATCACTCCGAGCGGTGTTGAGAAACCTGACCTACAGGAGTATTTGGAGTGGGTTAGCCCGACAGACTCGAACCTTGCGTTTGTTTTGTTTTAGGCTGGGCCTCCCTGTGTGGTCTGGGATTTGTTGGTTCCACTACTTAAGCCTCCCGAGTCCTGGTCCTGCGATGGTTAACAGGATGCTGGTCATACAGCACTGTATATGAAACTCCCAGCACGCTCCGATTCCTTTCTTCTGAAATTCTTCATCTTGAACTGTACCCGTCCCTTCTCTACAAATAACAGAACCATCCAGGGTGCCTGTTCTTGATGCCTCTTCCTTATTTTTCATGTTATGTTTAAAAAAAAAAATACTGTGCATGCGCGTGCAAGCGTACTACCACCTGCACATGCGAATGTGGACAGCAATGTGTGTGGAGGTCGGAGGATGACCTCGGCGTTGGTGCTCCCCTTCCACCTTAGCTGAGACCGGGGTCTCCTGGCATTCACCATTGCGCACTCCCAGGGAACTGGCCTGTGAGTTTCCA